AGAAATCAGAGTTTGAGCTGGACGAGACATTTTTCTGGGTTTCTCTTGAGTTGATCTTCATTTATTCGTTTGGCTTCTTTGTTTGCTTTTTGGTCACAGCTGGCTGTGCTCAGAACTTACTCCTGGCTCTGTGCTCAGGAGTCATTCCTTCACTCCCGTTGATGCTCGGGGGACCCTATGGGATACTGGGAATCGTACCCGGGTTGGCCGCGTGCAAGGCCAGTGCCCTCCCTGCTATGCTATCTCTATAGCCTACCTCATGGGTTTCTTTTTCTTTTCTTCTTCTTTTTTTTTTTTTTTTGCATCTTGGGTCACACCCGGCAATGCACAGGGGTCCCTCCTGGCTCTGCACTCAGGAATTACACCTGGCGGTGCTCAGGGGACCCTATGGGATGCTGGGAATCGAACCCGGGTTGGCCGCGTGCAAGGCAAATGCCCTACCAGCTGTGCTATCACTCCAGCCCCCTACTTCACGTTTTTAATCTGATCGAGTGCATGCCTCAACCCCCAAAGCTCTCACTGGAGGTGGGATTTTGGAGCCCATAGTTTGGAGGCCAAACAGTAGATATCCGAACGTGTGAAACAGTGGCCCCTGAAATCATAACCCGCCTTAACCCACGAGGAAGAAAGACACTACCTGTCTCTTTTAGGTAGTGAAATGATGCTTCTTCCTTGTTTTGCTTTCGCTCTGTTTTTGTCTTTATCGTTATTTTTCATAGGAATGTCTCATCTGGTTCAGCCTTTGTGGAAAGCAATGTGGAAGCGTCTCCAAAAAAAATCGATTTCTTTTTTTTCTTTTTTTGAGTCCCACCTGGAAATGCACAGGGTCTACTCCTGGCTGTGCACTCAGGAATTACTCCTGGTGGTGCTCAGGGGACCCTATGGGATGCTGGGAATCAAACCCGGGTTGGCCGCGTGCAAGGCGAACGCCCTTCCCGCTGTGCTATCGTTCCAGCCCCAGAATTAGACTTCTTATAGGACCCAGAGATATCTGTTCTTGGCACCTACGCCCCAGATAATTCATTCAAAGGGCTCTGTGGACGTCAATACTCCTGGCTGCATTCTGCGCGATAGACGAGACCTAGAAACAGTCCTAATGCCCAACTGTGGATGTACAGATCAAGAAGAGGCCTCTAGACAAAATGGAATACTACACAGCCCCGAGAAAGAACAGAAGCATGGGATTTCTCCAGGATATGGCTGGAACACTCTGATTAAAGTCAGAAAGATGTAGAATGATCTCTTGTAGGTAGGATTTACAGATACACAGCAAGGGAACAACCAAGGATCCAAGGCAACACAACTACACAAGCAACTGAATTGTGCATGTCTCAATTGAAGGGAGGAAGACTAGGGTTCTGGGGGCAGGTGGGTGGGTCCACTGGTGAAGGGTGTCAGGCTGGAATTGTGGGTGTCAGAATCATGCACATCACAAGTTCAAGTAAAACATGATAGTCACTGTCACTGTCCTCCTGTTATTCATCGATTTGCTCGTGCGGGTCCAGTAACGTCTCTATGGTGAGACTTACTGTGACTCTGTTTGGCATCTTGAATACGTCACGGGGAGCTTGCCAGGCTTTGCCATGAGGGCGAGATACTCTCGGTAGCTTGCCGGGCTCTCCGAGAGGGGCGGAGGAATCAAACCTGACTCAGTCGGGCTGGCTGCACGCAAGGCAAACGCCCTACCGCTGTGCTATTGCTCCAGCCCAAAAAACATAATAGACATCACGAATAAATGACAATGGACCTCTTTTTTTATGTGCTTGGCTCAGGACCCTCTGATGATCGAATGGGTTCCCTGTTCTACTCCCCCCGACTCTTCCTCTCATTTAAAGTTCTCCCGTTTCTACTTGATCACTGTATAACTGAAACCCAAGCACGAAAGCTTGTCAGTCTACAACTGTACCTTATGGTGTTTCACTAATAAAAAAAATAAATAAACAACAACAACAAAATAAAATAAAGTGGAGCGATAGCACAGTGGGTAGGGCGTTTGCCTTGCACGCGGCCAACATGGCCGACCCGAGTTCAATTCCTCCGCCCCTCTCGGAGAGCCCGGCAAGCTACCGAGAGTATTCGATATGCCAGACACAGTAACAACAAAGTCTCCAATGGAGACGTTACTGGGCCCGCTCGAGCAAATCGACGATCAATGGGAGGGCCTTTACCTTTACCTTTACCTGTCTCTTACTACATTGAAAGACTCCGAAAAGGAAACTCAGCCTCCCTCCACTTACAGAGCCGACTGGTTTTCCCCACTGAGCTATCATGCTCATGCGAGATCTTCCCTCATTGTCTTCGCGCTGCTTACCACTAGCCTGGGTTTTATAGAGGAGAATGAATCATGGTGTGAGAGCCCCAGGACAGCGTAACGTCCACGGTGCTCTGCCCACTTGTCGCACCATTAATCTGCGGTTGGGTTTATAAATAGAGGCCCGGAACGTCTTCCAGGCAAGGGTGCCAGAGCGTCTGGGCACCAGTACAGTGATGTGCTTTTGGGATTCCACTCGGACTGTTCCGTTGTACAAAAGCAACACCAGCCGTTAAAGCGTAGGGCTGGAGTGACAGTCCAGCGGGGAGGGTCCTGCCTTGCATGTGACAACCCGGGTGCGATCCGTAGCACCCCCTATGGTTCCCCCAAGCCTGCCAGGGATGATTCTTGAGTGCAGAGCCAGGCGTAAGCCTTGAACACCACCTTCACACAAAAACGGTACCGTGTCTTCCAGGAGGTGCAAAATAAATACTGTAGCACTGTCCTCCCGTTGCTCATTGATTTGCTTGAGCGGGCCCAGTAATGTCTCCATTGTGAGACTTGTTGGTGTACTGTGTTTGGTGTATCGAATACATCACGGGGAGCTTGCCAGGCTCTGCCGTGCGGGCGAGACACTCTCGGTTGCTTGCCAGGCTCTCCGAGAGGGGCGGAGGAATCGAACACGGCTCATCCGCACACCAGGCAAACACCCTACTGCTGTGCTATTGCTCCAGCCTTGAGTACTACCCCCACACAGAAACGCTATCGAGTCTTCTAGGAGATGCAAAATAAATACACTTTTTTTAAAAAAAATGTGCCTGTCACAAGCAGTGCCTCACAAGGGTTTGGGACCCCCTTGCAGTGGCAGTGTTCTCACAGGACTGGAAATTCAGTGCTCGGGGACCTGAGGATGCAATAGTGTTAAGGATCCTGGCATGCTAGGGGCTACCAGCCCACACAGCAAAGGTCAGGGTCCGTCCAGAGCGCTGCGCCCAGGGTTCTCATGAGGCCACGTGCTTCCGGAGATCCAACTGGGACCAGTCACATGGAAGGCAAGCCACCTAACCACTCAACTAGCTCCCGGCCCCGCAGAAACTCACTTTTGGGAGACGTTCCCAATGATCGCTTCTGAGTAAAAGTTACACAGCCACCAACAGGGAATCACAGTGAGTGTGTTACTTGCAAAACATCTGGAAAGTTCTGGGGCTGCGGATGGAACTCATTCTCCAAACACATACCTTGTATGCCTGAGTTCAATCTCTGGAATACTGCATGCACACATACACACATACACACACACACGCACAGACACACACACACACATCTGATGCGTGCACACACACACATCCCTTTTAGGGCCAGAGAGAAACTCAAAGTTCTAGATCACATGGCTTGCATGTTGTGTTCCAGACTCTATTCTCCATGTTGCCTTCCCCCCTAAGCACTGACTGTGCCCCTCAAATGCTTTGCCACACCCCACTGCTAAACCAAAGTTCTCTCTGGAATAATACACAACTAACGCTTCAAGACATTCATAGCTGAAGCAGGAGAAGTCTCGTTTTCTTCAGCTTGGAGGTGCCACCCTCATACATGCTTAGAGACTTGCCCTGGGTCTGTGTTTGGGGGATCACTTTGGCAGTGCTCAGGGGCCCACACACAGCGCCAGGGACCGAATCTAGGCTTCCCGCATGCGAACCAATGGCCAGTTCTCTTGCATTTAAAAAAAAAAGGCAAAAATGATTTTGGGCCACCCCAGGCGGGTGCTTGTGGAAATGTTCCCAGGGATCACTCTTGTTGCGTTGAGTGGACCATATGTGGTGCCAGGGTTAACCCCGGGTTGGCCGTGTGCAGCGCAAGAAGTGTTGTGTCTGCTGTCCTATCCATCACTCCAGCCCGGAGAAGCAACAAGTCAAAGACTTGTTATGTTGGTCAAAGCCAGAGTTCACATGCAGATCCCGGAAATACAATAATAATATTATTTATTTTCTTTTTTTTTTTGATTTTTTGGGTCACACCTGGCAATGCACCGGGGTTATTCTCCTAGTCTTCAAGCAGGAATTACTCCTGGCGGTGCTCAGGGGACCATGTGGGATGCTGGGAATCAAACCAAACGCCCTACCCGCTGTGCTATCGCTCCAGTCCCAATAATATTATTTCTGAGGCATGTTTTTAACACTCTCGGTGCCTTTGCATGTGTATGTCTCGGATGCACTTACAGCTGCTGCATTTTTTTTTTTTTGCTTTTTGGGTGACACTCGGTGATGCACAGGGGTTCCTCCTGGTTCTGCACTCAGGAGTTGCTTTTTGGGTTACACTTGGTGATGCACAGGGGTTCCTCCTGCCTCTGGACTCAGGAATCACCCTTGGTGGTGCTCAGGGGACCCTATGGGATGCTGGGAATCGAACCCAGGTCGGCCGCTTGCAAGGCAAATGCTCTACCCGCTGTGCTATCGCTCCAGCCTACAGATGCTGCATCTTAAGTATGTAATCTCTGGGAGTTGATCTCCACAAACCTAAACATCCTTCTTTAGCAAACCCGAAGACACCGGCGGTAGCCGGCGGAATTACCAGGCCTTCTCTGCCCAAGATCCCTCTGAATAAAACGTCAAAAGAACACAAAAACCCAACAAAGCTGTTTCAGATCAAGCCAAGCGAAGGGACAGAACGCCAGGGAGGAGAGCCGGTCGGAAAGAAATAGAACGTTGGAAAGGGGCGCGGGAAACGCATCCAATGGGAATAGACTACAAACCCCAGGTTGATCCTCTCCACGTGCGTCGAGATCCCGGCGGGCACCGAGGCCAGGGAGCGGAAGGTGCAGTGGACCTCGCTGGGCACGTAGCAGGAGCAGGGATGGGGACACCCTCCCTCCGAGGGCCCCGCGCCACACAGCAGGATCAGCACCGCGGACAGGGACCGCCAGGGCGCGCGCGGGGGCATCTTGTCCAGCCGAGGGTCCGCGCCTGATACAGAAGGCACACACACACAGAGACAAGCGTTTAGGGTCCCATCCGGGCTCCCCGCCCACCCATCCCCCGCGTCCAGGCCTCTGGGGAACTCCCCTCCCAGCCCCCAACTTCCAGGCATCGGCTGGAATGGTCATAAAACGCGCGTCGTCGTGCGAGCGCGCGTGTGTGCGTTTTAGCAAGCCCGCGTGCGTTTTTTTTTAGCCCCCTTCCTTCTTATCATTTAATTTTGGTCCTGAGTCAAGAGCGGTTGGCGTCGTTTCTGAGTTTGATGCTACTGTTTGACGTGGTGAAAAGGGATGTTATAGAAACAGAGATAGAGGCAAAGGGTTGACAAAGGCACAGAAGGCGGATAGAAGGATGGGTGGATGGTTGGATGCATGGCTTATTGGATGGATGGATGGATGGATGGATGGATGGATGGATGGGAAAATGGAGAGAGGGAGGACTGGAGTGGGGAGGGGAGGATGAAGTGTGGGTGGGTGGATGAAGGAATGACGAGAGAATGAATGGTGGAAAGGAGGAAAGTGGAGAGAGGAATGCGTGGATGGGTGGATGCATGGATGGATGGATGGATGGATGGATGGATGGGTGGATGGGAAAATGGAGAGAGGGAAAACTGGAGTGGGGAGGGAAGGATGAGGTGTGGGTGGGTGGGTTGATGAAGGAATGACGGGAGGATGAACAATGGAAATGAGGAAAGTAGAGAGAGGAATGCATGGATGGATGGATGGATGGATGGATGGATGGATGGATGGGTGGATGGATGGGTGGGTGGATGGTCGAACGCATAGATGGATGGATGCATGAACGGATGGATGGGTACATGGACGGATGCATTTATGATGTGTGGATGGCTGGCTGTATGATGGTGAATGAATGACACATGGATTAGGAATGAATGAAGGAAGGGTGGGAGTTTGTGGAGGATGCTAGGAAGATTTACGCTGTATTACGTACACACGTGTGCTACATACCATGAAAAAATGCAGACGCACCGAATACACATGCAGTCATAAATACATACACTGGTATAAATACATGCAGAGAGAGGAGAATTTTTGGTATTGGCAAAATACCAATCAACCCTCCATGCCTTATACCCCCAAGCACTTACCTCTTGTAGATATTTGAACACACCCTCCCCCATACACGTTGGGGAAAATTTCCGTGAGGCTGAGCTCCCTGTTAGTGACCCTTTGAATGAGTCCTACCCCAAGTCCTGCAAGAGTTATCTGTGGGAGGAACTGGCCCTGCCAGCCAGAGTTTGGAGACTCTCCCTAACATTTACTTCTGCAAAGGCAGTGAGTTTGATGGTGTGGTTTTGGGGCGCTGGAGTTTGGGGAGGGCTGAGGAAGAAAGTAACATTGGATCAGGAGAGTGAGACCAGAGATGGTTAGTCCAGAGGGGCCTTGAGAAACCCCAGGAGCACCCGAAGATGACTGTGTCGCTTACAGAAGTTGTTCTGGAAGACGTCACCAAGTGCGTCCTGGGGCTGTGGGTATCTTTGGAGGTCTCCAAGCGTCCCCCACCAGAAACGCGGTGGCACAGGCACAGGCAAGCGCCCCGCGGAGATGCCAGGGGGGCTGGAGGTCTGGAGCCACAGGCTAAGCGAGCGCTTCCAGCAGTAACCACACTCCACGCCCCCGCGCGCGCAGCGCTCCGCCGGCAAACTTCTCCACCCGGCCCGTGAACTCGGGGGAAGGAGGAGGGAGAAAAAAAAAAGGAGGAGAAATAAAAAAAAAAAGGCCTCGCATGCAGCCAGCTCGCGAGCCTCCTTCCAGCAAGGCTTGGAAAAGTGCTGACGGCGCAGACAGCTCCCGGCTCAGCGCGAATCGCTCCCACCCTTTCTATTCCGTCTGCGTTTTTTTTCCCCCCTCCCCGTTCTTCATCTGGGGCCGTTGCTCCATCGCCTCCTGCCCGCGCTCCTGACCTGGGCTCCGGATCGCTTCCAAGGGGATCCCGACCCGGGCTGACCCTCGCCGGCACCGCGCCTCCCCCACGCGCCCCTCCGCCCCTCGGCAAACGCGAGCGCAAACGCCCCCACCCCACTCCCAAGAACCCGGGGTCCTGCTGCGTTGCAGGCAGGGTTTAACCCCGCAAAGGCGAACTGGATGAACCCCCCTCCGGAGTGTCAGCTGGGGAGACAGTTGAGTGTCCCCCCACCCCGGGACGGGCACCCTCACCCCTCTCCTCCACGCGCCCTCCCACCCTCCCTCCACTCTTAGAACCTAGAGCTGGGGCCGAGCGCTCGCCACGCGTCCTTGGCGCCTTCCCAAGCGCGCGCGCGCGCGAGCGGGGAGTTGAGTTGCTGGAGTCGGTTTCCAAGAAGGAGGCTCGGGCGGGCGCCCGCGACCCGGATTCCAGAACCCGCCTTCCCCTCCCCACACGTGGCGGATCCGGCGGCCTTTCTGCAAGGGCCTTGGGGCTCCGCAGCCCGACCTAGCCGGAGAAGCCTGGGAGCACAGAGAAAGCCGAAAGAGTTTCCGCTGGGGCAGTGGGTGTCCCCCTCCGGCGCGCGGGGCTCCCCTGGGGACCCTCCCTGGAAGCCGGGGAGGTGAGAGCGAACGGGACTTGGAGAGGGGAGGAGGAGGAGTTGCGAGCCGCTTGCTGCAGCCCCAGCTCTGATAGACCCAAACTTCTCCCCCTTCCAGCGTGCCAGGGCGCGGCTGCACACACGCGTGTTTGCGCTTGGAGAGGAAGCGGGGGGTTCCCCAGATCGCCTCACCCTTGGCAGACCCGGGGCCCTCTCCCCCTTGCAGCCCCCCCAACCCCAGCGCCCGGAGCCTCACCTGTGCGTCTCCGGAGCCGAGACGGCGCCCTGGGGTGCGGGCGCAGGGCGCGCGCGGGCAGCGCCAGGCGGGGGCCGGGAGAGAGGCGCCCTTTTATTCCACTCGGGCGCGACGCTCCGCCGAGTCCACGCCTCGGCCCACCCCCACCTCTGCCCCACCCCGGGGAGAGAGAGAGAAAGAGAGAGAGAAAGAGAGAGAGAGACGGGGAGTCACCGGGAGGGGGGACCCCGGCGGTCGCCCTGCCGCCGTGCGCTCAGCCCGCGTCTGGCCTCCCCATAGCGCGGGGCCGCGCGAGGGGGATCCCCCCACCCGGGGAGGCCCCCCGAGGGTCGGCGGGGAACCGGGGCGCGCACGGGGGAGGGAGGACTTGGGCGCTGGGGGGGCGCGAGAGGGAGCGTGGAGGTGACCGGTCCCGGCGCGGGCAGGAGCCCAGTGCGCCCCGCAGGCAGCCCGCGCGCGCGGGCTTGGGGCCAGCAGACACGGCGCCACGCCCACCCACCCCCCACGCGCCGCGACCCGCGCTCCAGAAGGCCTGGCCAGCGCGTCCTGGCCCGCTGCTGGGAAGAGCACCGGGGAGAGGCTGGTGGTACTGGCGCACCTTGGGGAGAAGCTGGTGGTACCCGCACGCCTTGGGGAGGACGTGTTGGTACTCACACACCTACGTTGAGAGCGTTGAGTAGAACTTGATGGTCCTCGCGCACCTTGTGGAGAAGCTGGTGGTACTCACACACCTTGGGTAGAAGGTGGTGGTACTCTGCGCCCCTTGGGGAGAAGTTGGTGGTACTCGCACACCTTGGGTGTAGAATCCTGGGTAAAAGCTGGTGGTACTCACACACCTTGGTTAGAAGCTGGTGGTACTCATGCATCTTGGGTGGAAGCTGGTGGTACTCATGCAACTTGAGTAGAACATGGTGGTACTCAGTCACCTTGGGTAGAACCTGGTGATCCTCACACACCTTGGGTAGAAGCTGGTGGTACTCACGCACCTTGGGTAAAACTTGGTGGTACTCAGGCACTTTGGGTAAAACCTGGTGGTACTTGCACACCTTGGGTAAAACCTGGTGGTACTCACATACCTTGGGTAGAACCTGGTGGTCTCCGCACACCTTAGGCAGAGAGGCTTGGGTGGAAGCTGGTGGTCCTTGCTCACCTTGGGTAGAAGCTAGTGGTGCTCACGCACCTTGGGTAGAACTTGGTAGCCTTCGCACACCTTGGATAGAAGCTGGCGGTACTAACACACCTTGTGTAGAACCTGGTGGTACTCACACATCTTGGGTAAAACCTGTTGTGTAGTCACACATCTTGGATAGATGCTGGTGGTACTTGCTTGGGTACAAGCTGGTGGTACTCGCACACCTTGGGTAGAACATGGTGGTATTCACACAACTTAGGTAGAGAGCCTTAGGTAGAAGCTGGTGTAGAGGGAGCCTTAGGTAGAGGGAGTGTGGAGGTGACCGGTCCCGGCGCGGGCGGGAGCCCGCGCGCGCGGGCTTGGGGCCAGCAGACACGGCGCCACGCCCACCCACCCCCCACGCGCCGTGACCCGAGCTCCAGAAGCTGGTGGTACTCACATACCTTGGGTGGAAGCTGGTGGTACTCAGGCACCTTGGGTAGAAGCTGGTGGTACTTGCGCACCTTGGGTAAAACCTGGTGGTACTCACACACCTTCGGTAGAAGCTGGTGGTACTCGCACACCTTAGGTAGAAGCTGGTGGTACTCACACATGTTGGGTAGAACATGGTGGTACTCACACACCTTGGGTAGAACATGGTGGAAATCACACACCTTGGGTAGAAGCTGGTGGTACTCACACATCTTGGGTAGAACATGGTGGTACTCACACACCTTGGGTAGAACATGGTGGTACTCACACACCTTGGGTAGAAGCTGGTGGTACTCACACACCTTGGGTAGAAGCTGGTGGTACTCACACACCTTGGGTAAAACCTGGTGGAAATCACACACCTTGGGTACAAGCTGGTGGTACTCACACATCTTGGGTAGAAGCTGGTGGTACTCACACACCTTGGGTAAAACCTGGTGGAAATCACACACCTTGGGTAGAAGCTGGTGGTACTCACACACCGTGGGTAAAACGTGACGGTACTCACATGCCTTAGGTAGAAGCTGGTGGCACTTGCCTGAGTCCTGGGGGTGGTGGCCGGGCAGTGAGGACCAGCTG